GCTACTGCTCAGAACCATCACAGGGATACGGGACTCAGGCTATGATCAAATCACCATAACTGGAGATTTCAATGACCTATCACTGAACCTTGGCTCGGGGTATGCTAAGGGGAAACTCGGCCGAAATCTACTGCAAATTATTCGAAATACGGGACTGACTGAGAATGTTGGAGACGACACTAGGTGGGGCCCTAGTGGAAAGTCATCAAAACTAGACTAAATTTTTTTTGATTTACAGCTTGATTCCACACCGTATTTTCAGTGCAAGTGTGGAATTTTCAGCATGGATATCGGTAGCCCAAATTCAGGCCGACCATAGATATCGGGTGTGCGCCGGCAGGGGATCGAACCCCGGACCATGTGCATGGTCGGCGAGAGCCCTAACCACTGTGCCACCGACGCACTAGTGACCGACTACTCATCGAAAAGGTCCATATCATGACTCCTCTAGGAAGTAGTGACCATGCAGTCATAGGTTTCGATCTCGTTCTCCGTGAGCATTTGCAGTGGGACGCTACGCGACTACGTCTGTGTTATAGCAAGGCTGACTATGCTGAAATGCGGAGGCTCTTGTCCAACACAGAGTGGCCCCTAGCATGGGATGAGCTATCTGTGGATGAACACTTGGGAGTATTAAAAGAGATTATTCACACAGCAATCTCAGGTACCGTCACTCTAGTCACAACACAGATGAACAAAATGTCGTCATGGCTGAAGAGAGGCACGCAACGTATTCTGCAAGAAAAGGGGAAGGCTTGGTTTACGTGTTTGAGAGTTAGATCGACCACGACACATACCTGGAACTCAGGAACCGGTGCAACGCAAGAGTCAGGAGGGACAGGAGGTCATTCCAGGCTAACCTTGCTAAAAAGCTCCTAGCAAACCCCAAGAACTTGTACCGATTCATGTCGGAAAGGAGACAAACCAACCAGGGGGCATGCGCCTTAGTAGGCCCAAATGGTCAATACCTCACTAATCTAGAGATGGCTGAAACATTCAGTTTAGCCTTCGCCAAACAGCTAAACAGTAATGTGGGTATTACCGTTACGGACCAAAATGGTGGCACTGCTGAATCACTAGGGGAAAACCTGGTGGCTACTCCCCAAATAAACCCGGCAATAGTACTAGGGAGAGACTCACATCTGGAAAGTCCACAGGTTGTAACGACATCAGACCATCTGTTCCGAAACAGTGCGCCGAAGCCCTCCGTAGGCGCTTATGCCACTTATTCCAACACTCGATGGATTCGAGGAAACTACCAAGGGAGTGTAAAAGAGCCATCCTTTCTCCGATCTTCGAGGGTGGGGATAGGGAAAATGCCACAAGTTATAGACCATTAACCATACTCCCAGTGGTGCCGAAAGTACTGTGAAGTACAATTGATTATCACATCAGGGAGAACCTCGATAAGACTAACAGGCTCCGTGAAGTCTAAATGGTTTCAGGAATGGCAGATCTTGTGTAACAAACTTACTATCAGCTTGAAACGATTGGGCATCGTGCCGGGATGTGAATGTTCCAGTCCATGTCGTCTTCCTAGACTTTGAGAAGGCATTTGGCACAGTTTATCATGACCTTCTTCTATACAAACTAAGTCAGGTGGTTGTAGGTGAGCCACTTCTGTCACGGTTAAAGGACTACCTAGCTGAAGGCCAATTTCGCACTAAGGTCAATCGAGTCTGATTATCTTGGCACAGCTCGTCATCAGGAGTGTCACAGGGCTTTATCCTAGGAACACTGATGATTTTGGTTTTTATCAGTGATCTACCATGCCGTCTAAGCTGTCTGACTCTTCTATACGCTGACAACGTGAAGTGTCCGGAGGACTCAGGTGGGCTGCAGCAAAATCTAAAGCTTCTGGAAGACTGGTCGGTGGCCAATGGCATGACTTTCAACCTGAAAAAGTGCAAAGTAGTGAAGTTACGCACCTGTAGACTGCAGAATGTAAGTTACACCCTGTGCAATGAAAGCTTGTCCTGTAGAACGTTGGAGTGTGACTTAGGTCTAGTTCTAACGGAAAAAATGGACACAAGCGTAAATTACACGGGGGACGTAGCGAGGGCATATGCGATCATACACTTCACACATAAACAGTTAGGCGCACTCACTATCGAACTCTCTCTAAGGTTGAACAAAACATACGTCAGACCACACCTTGAAGTGCACAATATCATTGTATCCCCGCTGCTACGAAGTGACGCATACCTCTTGGAAAGAGCCCAAAGATGGGCGACAAAAGGAATGGTGGGTCTCCGGAATGGGCGGTATAATGGAAGGCTAAAGAAATTAGGCCTATTCACAATTAGCTACCGTCGGCTTAGAGGGGATTTGATTACTGCCTCAAAGATAACAAATGACCTTAATCACCTAAACAAAGGTGCCATTGAGTAGATATGAACTTCCTCGTGAAAATCCCCGAAGGATAGCTCACCGGAGGGCAAGAACTCGAGTGCGTCCCCACTTCTTTTCACTCCTGGTCTGCCATCCCTGGAACTCTACTGGCGGATGTAGCTGTGGCACCGTAAATGGACGGGTTTAAACGAAGGCTGGACAATCATACAGCGACACAAGGACTGCGCCCAAATTGCCTATCCCCTTAAAATCCCATACACCATTGATGGGTAGACATCTAAACTTATCGTTTACTTCTTTACATTCTCTCCTGACTGCCTCAACTTCTACACTTACGCTTATTATTTTCGCTGATATTATGTATATATTTATTGATATATGTCAACCTCAAATTTAACTAGGATTCTGTTTTTACGTTTTCTATATTTCTTTTTCTGTCTTTTACTCTGAATAACTTACACTAATTACATCTTTTATTTTGGATACAACCAAAGCTACGACAGTCAGGTGGCGGGACGAACTATGCAGAAGATTATCGAAGACCGCGAGCCTTTGCCTCACAATCAGGAAGCGAGCGTAAAGAAACCAAAATGGTTTATTCTAGTTAGTTAAAACGATATTGGATAGCCACAAAATTTGTTGGTTTATACGAACTAGTCACAAATATATTGAGTAAGCTGCTACATATTCAGAAATCAATGATAAAATAATAATATTAGTCGAGAGTATTTGTGGTATCTCCACGCAGGTGTGTACATCGTACTCTTTGTTTCTTCGAATCAATTAGTAAATAGTCACACAAAGCGATTTTTCAAATATTGTAGCTATTTGTACGCTTTGGATCAACGCCTATTATGTTTTATAGTGTCGATCTATTGTCTGCTCATCGTGGAAGATTTGGCATTATATGGTTGAGTTCATTCGAATTCGTAACACTAAATTTTAGGTTGGCAGCGACCAGAGTAAGAAAACAGCTTACGAGAAGAGAGCTGAATTCAGTTAATATTGTTAATGCATGGTATTGCGAACATATTTCTTACTGCCTTTAGCAACGAGATAACAGGCCATATTTTGGGGAAGACGAGAATAAGGCTGTCGTTGTACTTAGCGTCGCAGTTGACGTTCGGGATATGTGTGATCTATAGAGAAAAAGTTGTCTTTATGCTGCGTAAGTTGACTGTATAATTCACAATTATTTAGTTACGTTGGTATTTCCACGATATTAAGTTATCTCTTAAATTTCTCTCACATATTAGGCGATCTGCAGGAACTGAATCAACGGGCTTGCGTATTAACAGTCCGGTCCATTGATCTACCGACGTGGTAAAACTTACATGTCGATGTTCCTTTCTGTTCGTTTCATTTGTGTTTCTTTGTTTGTATCATTTTTCCTCTCAGCCTTTATTCACATTAAAGTTGTTTTCTTAAAGTAACAGACGCCAGTCGCATACTAAGCGAAGACGTACCTCGGCGACGGAGGCTACTGAATTACCTGTGTGGAATAATAACGAAGACATCAATGAATTCGGAAACTTGCAGCTTCCTGAATTAATCTGGCCTGAAATCGAGCCTAATTTGGAGTTTATGGATACGCAAACTCTTTATCAAGCACGAAAGGAAGATATCACGATGTTTGAGGATCCTCAAAATACTGTGAGTTGTCTATCTTACAAGTATAGAAACGTTACTTTTCATGTTTACTTTTGATTTTCGGAGAGTGGATCTAGGCATTCCGGACACTGTAGCCTCTGCATACGTTTTTAGAGCCAGTCCAATTGTATGAATAATTGTTAACTAAGCAAGTATCCCAAGTACGCCTTACCGTTAGTGTTAACTTATGCATATATATATATATATATGTATACGAAAGCCTGAACCCTGAGGCGCCTCCAATAAGGATGCACAATTTGACCTAATACGTAAATAATTTAAATATTCCCGTAACGGTAATTACAGAGCACGATTTAAGCAAATACGAATTTTCTCCTCAGCTTTTACGTTTACATAATGAATGAAATATGTAGTCATAGATATTTGAATTAATTTGGTTAATGAAGTATAGAATAGGAGGTCAGTGATGTGAATTAATGGGTAATAATCAATGTGATCATCATCATCATAATAATTATAATAATAAATTCATTCAATTTGTTATATAATCAACGTAATGGGGTGGGGAGTGTACATGTAGAATATGTATACTATTGAAGATGGAGGAGAAAATAACTGTCGCCACATAGCCATTAGGTATTATGATAATAGTAACAATAGTGAGTTACAAAACTGAGGTTAAAATGCACAACTACAGCACACAGCATGATATTGATAATTCAGTCAGCATTACAAATAAAAGTTAAATGAAATGATAACGTTATGTTCCCAGTTATCCAGTGTCACCGGGATAGACACCTATTTTAGGTTGGGGACGAAGGCCAAGGGAGGGAGAGAGAGAGACTGAATAAACATTTTCTGAACACAGAAATTGAGTGGAAAAATCCTTTTTGGCAACTGCCTCCGCTGTGCTTAGCAGTCGAAGACGTACCAACCTAGAGTTACGGTGGCACCCAATATATAGAATTGTTAAAGCTGAATATTTTTTCAATCTTGTGCTGCGTATCCACTGGGTGTACCAGTGTGGAACTTCTAATTAACTAATTAACGACTCCTCAGCCTAACCACATTGGACAGTTCTCCAGCAGGGGACGGTGGGCTGGGCGGAGTCGTTCTACCTATGTAAATGTTTCCACATGAACAGTTAAATTTGTGAATGCACATTGAAGTAATCAGATTTGGTAGCTTATCCTTCACATGCTTGGGACTTATACAACGAGTGGGGAATTCGTAAACACAATGTTGTGGCAAAGGATGTTTTATCTACTATTTTTTCAAATTTCCTATGCCAGCAGTTCATTTGTTGCTTCTCCTTCAACAGAATTGCGTCACCTGAACGAATTTATCTTTGTTATTATTATTATTATTGTGATCACCTCAATTATAATCGATTAATTCACATCCCTGAACTCCGATCCTATACTTCGTTAACCACATTAATTCAAATGCCTATGACTAACATTTCATTACGTAAACGTAAAGGCTGAGGAGCATTTACCGAAAATTCGTATTTGCTTAAATCGTGTTCTATAATTACCGTTACGGGAATATTTAAATAATTTACGTTTTGTGTTGAAACTGGAAATCAATGTTAACTTAAGGATGATCACTTCTGTCCGCTATCTTCAATCTATCTTGAACACAGCGTTTATCAGCTGTTCAACCTATTTTATTCCCCTGAGTCACGCGAAACTAAGTAGAGTGATTATTTGTCGTGCATGAATATGGATGTTAGTCAATCGCATGAGTAGTATACGAGTGACTAATTAAAACTATTTTATTTTCAACACATTGTATTTCACTAATAGATACCATATAAACCTCCTGATGACGATCTAATCCCACTGGATTTCGCTAATCTCACTGAATTGTCTCAACACAATCAAAGTACAAGCTATGGAGAGGATTTTCCTGTGACTACTTCTACAAGAAAACACTTATTATTAGAAACTAGTGAAACTGGTGTGGCTGAATGTTCTACAGTGAAGCGGTCACGTCATTTGGATGAGTCTGAGAGGTTAGTATTTTTGATTGGTTTTATTTATTGAAATCATGGACGTATTCCCCGTACTCATCTTGATGATGTGTAATTCAATCTGGGCTTAATTGTTGAACTAGTGAGAATTTGTCCAGTCTCACAGTTGATCACATCAATAAAGGATAAGAATTCAAAGAAAATAAGGAGCATTGAACAGGCGTTTCATCCTAGTCCTCGACACGCTCATTAATTACATACTGCATATATAGTGACAATCTTTCAGATGGATATTTTGTTTATAATTTATAATTTGAATTAGTGACTGGTATAGAGCCCAACCACTTGATGATTCTTATTTGATAAATGAACGAAAATTAAAATTCTTAATTACTTTTATCGGATTCAAATCTAGTGACCCAAAAAGACATATTATTGCCTTATTTTAACCTCATGGTATCCTCTGTTGGACAAACCTTGTGAGTATGTGGTCTCGAACCAATGAATCGTCTCTTAAAGCAGGATGACACTTCTGTCTAGGTGTCTCTTTGGTTTCTTGTGGTAATGTTCCAGTAAGCGTTGTTGTTCTTGACCAAAACATTTTAATTCATTATCATTGTGTGCATCAAGATAAGTCTATTTCACTTCAAAGTGATTGGTGTGTCGCTCGTCCAATTGTAGAATACTCGCAGTCAGTACCCGGCCACCGACGGACACCTAAACCTCACCTAACCGGTAGTAAGCTCAGTGAAGAGGGAAAGTTTAGCGTGAGACTAGCAACTCCACCCCATGAAGGAAACTGTGTAGTTACTGAGACCTTGAAGCTCAGACCTGAGTGAGACACAAAGGAATAAATAAATTTCACTGCAGATAAAATGAAGATATTATATATATTCTTTTTAACATGATATTTTGAACGGGTAGCTTTAGGGAGGTTATGAGTCACAAGATTAATATAAATAAGTTATTAAACAAGTGAACTGGGATTATGGGAGGTGGTTTCAAGTGGGTCAGGTGGTATGAGAAATTGGAATGACAACAATGATGACGATAATGTGAAGGCGGAAATACAGAGTCAATAAATGGAATCAAGTCAATTAGAAAGAACGTTGCTTTGACCAAGGTAAAGAAAGGAGTACTGAACAGAAAACAAGCTTTTGAATACATAGTACAGCTTGTATTCTGGTAATACTAACTATATAGGCAGTAATGGAAAGGTGAATTTATGCAGAGTACTTGAGTTTAACCCTGTAGATAAATACGTTTATGAGGTATCGGTCTCACTAACCATATGAGTAGGGTCATATTAAGTGTTTCTCTATTGTGCATGTGTGTGTGTGCGCGCAAGATGATAATTCCATAATTTCTATTCTAAAGTTTGTCGTTTGAAGAAATCTGAATGTTAGATTCATGTTTTCAAATGTGATTGTGTATATTTGGCATTTTATTTTATCCCTTCACGTTCCCAGTGGAACATAGGGCTTCAAGCTGGAGACTTGAAGTTTCTGTAGCAGTGGTGATTATTTTTACAGGATGGGGTTGCTAGCCTCATGCCCAACCTTTCCTCTTTACCAGCTTGATTACTGGCTTAGCGAGGTAAAGGAGTGCCTCAGTGGCCGGGGACCGGACCCCGGACCATATGCATGGTGGTCGACGAGCGTCCTAACCGCTGTGCCACCGACACACATATTTAGCATTAGACCACGTATTTACAAGTCACTTTTGTTTTCAAGGTTCACAACTCAAGCCAATCTAGAAACTATCGAAGAAGTTCAGTTGCCGGTTGCCACAGAGTGTCAGACTATGCCTGAGGCTGCAGAGTTAGTGAACATGTGAGTGAGTCTACTTTGAATTTTACTCATAAAGTGATATGTGTGTTTATTTTTGGAGTCTGTCATTTGTAAGCCTCATTGCGTTTTCTTTGACAAGTGTAAAAGTCATATTGATTATTCTTTGATATACTACAATATTTGTAAAGATTGAATATAAATCACTTTTAATGTTACACTTCACTTAACATCAAAGCGTAACTGATGTGTCATCTGTGCAATCCTTGGTGATGGTGCTGGTTGAATTCTCTCATTCGTGTTTGGAATATAATCAACAAGCAGCTAGATGACTCTTTGCAGGAAACTCTGCATCTAGGTTTCTTGTTGATATGAATTAATCAGCACCAACACCGAGAACTGGACACATGATTGTTCTAGTTACTCTCCAGTGATCTCAGTCACAGTGTCCTCCATCATTAATCCGTACAGCTTAGTGGTAACGTCGTGGGATTGAATCTTCAATGCGGGGGTATCAATTCCTCCAAGGTTGAAAGCACGCCTTACTGATGAGTGCCGATGAGAACGAAACAAACCATGGTCAGGCGGGACTTCTTGCTAATCATCTTCAGCCATCTGAGATCCAACTGTTAAGATCTGTTTATTGTTGAGCACTACTTAGTGCTTATTTAGTACACTTTTCTGGTTTAGATAAGTGATTTGTTTTCTTCATAAATGAAAGATGACGTAACCCACAGTTTTTGTATTCCTTACTACTTCACGATTTCCTACCCTCCGTATTAGATTGAAGTCGGTGTTCCATGCTTCTTGGGCTTAGTGATAAATCTGTCCTCTTTCAACTATCATAATACATGGTTAAACATCAGAGAGATTGAAAAATGTGATACACTATTTTGTATAAACCTGGTCTAATGCTCCATTTTGCCTTATTTCGTATATCAAACACAAGAGGGTATGACTCACTGCATCCTCTACCCATATTACCTGCTTGCTTGCTTTTTGTTTCTTCTTTTAAGACCACAAGTTTCAGACAATGTGGAGACTGTTACGGAAGCTATTGTTGAGAATGTACCTGCCCAACAAATCACTGCGTAAGTGTCATGTTAGAATTTTTGTCGCTATTGTTGTTGTTCTTGACAAAACAACTGATTTAATGTAATTCATGAATACTAGTAGGCAACAGTTGCTTACATGAGTGCTGCAAACCACTAAATTACATTTGCTACCTAGTGTACTCTCTTATTTCAACCAAATAGTCTCGGATTCGAAACCCGTTCCACTGAATTCAACCTCTTGATGGGCACATGGATAGTATCATCACCTCTGACACAATAAATTTGATTGACAGCTTGGTGAAAGATATTTGAGTGTACCATTAGACTTCATTCCTAGTTGTATTTCCAAAATTCTAAAATGAACCGTTTTTATAGCCAGTAATGGCACTGAATCCCTGTTCACATCAACAGAGTCAGAAAGAAGCCTCGTACCTATGCATTATGCAGACAGATTATAACAATTATTGACATTTTTATTGGACTAATCTTTTAAAACCATTCGTAACTGTTACAGACAAATCCAGTCATTTAGATATCTAGCTGTGATTCTGAATAAGCACTTATGTAAGTTCAGAGACAGAGATAATTAGGGTCAAATAAGTTTACTGTGAGGCTGTTAATTTGCTAAATTTTTCGTTAATCTTAACCCAGGGTAAACGGATACAATAGTCAAAACGTAGGATTTGTCTGGAATTGTTGACTAACAGTTGTTTCCAACTACGCGACTTAATCAGTTATTGTCCCGACATTGTTCTGCTTATATTTTCGACAGTTGTGTGTTGTTCAACGATAGTATACTGTAACACATACTAGCTGAACTAGCAATGAAGTTGTTCTACATCACTCTTCAGCGGTTTAGAAGCCGAAGTCTGTCACTGGAAGTCTTAGCACACTGAATGATGGACATGACCAAGAAGGTGACGATATTAATATCAGATGACTAAATAGAACGAGACACACATGCGTGTGTGTGTGTGTGTGACCACTACCTTGGTTGTGTTCAACGCATCCATCGTCCAAAATTCACAGTGAATTTGTGGAACCTTCTTAATACAGTGTTTATAATATACTTCCAATAGTTTCCATTCCAAAATAACTAGACGTTATTTAGATAACACTGCAGACGACTGATCCAACAATATCGCCTTGGAGTATGTAGTTTATAGCGTTCTTAGGCGGCGACATGACTCAGCTGCTCACTTCTCAGCACTTAGAAGATGTTTCTCCAGGACATCAGTATTTACAAGCTTTATGTCGTCATCATCATCATTTGTAGTCTCAGTTCACCCACCGCTTCTTGTCCCTGTGAACAACCAACCCATTTTTGACTACTAAATATTTCCAAAGAGCTGTTTAAATGAAATATTCTTCCTTGTCTTAGCGATGTATTCCACTAGAAAATGTCCTCCGATCTCAATCCTGTGTGTGAAGATTTTCTTTTTAAAATTAAAAGAAAAGTAGTCAGAGTTTTATTGTGAAAATCATTTCAAGTAATTATTTTAATCTTTGGTTTTCTTCCCATTCCTTCAATCTGCTGATTGTTCTTGTTCTTGTTGCTGAAAATGTGCTCCTCTGAATATCGTGTCGTAGAATGCCAGTGGATTTAGACGAAGGACAGTTGGTAAGTGTTATTTGGGAATATTTACGTCATATAATTATCTGAAGCTATGCCATTATTATTATTCCTTTTTTCATTATTCCCTCCACTTCTTAGTAGGACATAGGCACTCAAAAGCACATCTCTGAGATACACCCTGTCACCTGAAGTAGTAACTACTAGCTAGGCTTAATTTTACCTCAGACGATATATTAGACAAATTAGCTTAGCAGCGAAAAACAAAATGAATTTAGCGATTCCACTTACACGTACAGACCAGTTGAGAGTTATGTCACCAGATACAGTACTCATTCCATGATAAGTGTGTCCAAAAATCAAAAAGTGACAGAGAGATCACATTCAAAAGAAATTATATAATAATATAAAAAAACAAATATTTCACGCTAATAAACATTAAAAATATAAGTGTCTTTCATATATTACCGACTTCTTAACACTAACGGAATTAAAGTTCAAGAAAAGCACAAAATTTGTAACAAACTAGAGAGTATTATAGTGAATGGAAGATCAAATAAAATTAAGCATCATTAACGCCTTGATGGCCAAGGTGAGGAGAGTGTCTGAACCAACTTCCTTTTTACCCAGATACATAAGTTAAGTTTCTCAGTGTGAGTCCCGACGGTTTGATCAATATGTAGTAGACGAACTCTCAAGGTAGAATTAAGATTAGTCGGTATGCGGTAGGTGAATTTGAAAGCCCCGTTAACATCAATCTTGTGTTCTGTAACCACGAGACGAGACAGTATAGAACTATGAATACATTTTGTTTGTCCCTTACTTAATCACACAAGACGATGTTCATGAATCACACGATATAGACGCCTAATTGTACGGCCTATGTAACTTGCTCCACAGGAGCATTCCGATTGGTAGATACACATAAAAGGATCGAAGTTAGGCAGCTTATTTTCAACAATCGAACACAGGATATGGGTTGCTTTTAGACACAGCATAATTCAGCAGCACCGAGTGCTGTTTCTGCCGCATTCCTTACGCGTTGTGTTAATATCTCACTGATGTTTTCCCCGAGGAACTGAAGTTGTGAGAACAAGGCCTTTTTTGGATCTGTTGGTAATTTCGCCTGCATTGACTTTTGACGCATATTCCTATCGATGAAGTTTTCTGGGTAACCATTCTCAATCACCAACCATTTAGTAATATTAAGCTTTTCATTAAGACATTCATCAGAGAAGATTGCACTTGCTGTGTGCACCAAGCACTTCATTAGATTGTGTTTGTATTTCAAAGGCACTAGGCTGAAAACATGAGTATACTAACAATTTGATGTAGGTTTCGATGTACACTTCTTCTTATTGTACCATCCTCTTTTCTAGTCATAAGGACACCTGGGAATGAAATACTAGAGTCTCTTTCTTTCTCAATGGTAAAATTTATTGCAGCATGAACATCGTTACATCTGTCCAGGATGTTCTTTCCTCCATCCTCATTTTCCATAATCAAAATGTATCATCCATGTAGTGACAGTAGAATTCTGGTTTATCAATCACAAAGTTCAAAGGCTCATTCTCTAGTTTCGCAAGGAAAATGTCGGCTAGAATAGGGCCTGGTGGTGACCCCATTGCCACTCCCATCAATTTGTCTGTATAGTTGCTTATTAAGTAGGAAGTGAACATTCATTGTGCATTTTAAAAGAAGCTCTTTCAGAAAAGATATGGGAATGCCGACATCTGTTTCGTCTTATAACTCCTTTGCATACAAAGTCTACTGTTCCCATGAGTTGTACATCGGTGAATAAGGAAGACACGTCAAATGATATCATGAATGTGTTGTCAACATTTAAATCTGTTATCGTTTTGACAAATCCAAAGGGGTGTCTTTTACGCTGTGTTTCACCAATTCAGTAGGTAGAGACTGTAATAGTTTGACTAACCATTTGGCTGGCTATGGGATGGCATGATGAGTTTAACATATCTAGTAGTGGTCGAAGTGGTGGTAAATCATTTTTGTGCACTTTTGGAAAACCACATAATCTTCGTGTGAGCGTCTCAGTGGGTTTCAGTGATGTATACTGACTTTGTGAGATAAAGCCTTGTTGTTTCAGTCTTCTCAATGTTTCAGTTAACTGTTTATCCATCCAGAGGATGAGATTTTTTTGGGATTTTAGATTGTCATTAAGAATGGTACTCATCTTCTCGAAGTAATCCGTTTTGTTCATGATATCCACTCCTGAACCCTTATCCGGTCTTGTTATTACTATGTTGTCGTCTTTTCGGAGAATATCTAGGGCTTCATTATGTGTTTTGGTCAAAATATTATCCGAGTTGCGTTTACTATTCATGTGACTATAATAACAATCGACCAGAGTTGACTTTAGTCTTTCAACCGCTTCAGTTGATGAGGGTATTAATCCTTCGGTTAGAGTATAGAGGCCTTGGTTCCCTCCAAACCCAGTTCGTTATGTGTGTATAATATTTCGGATGTAGTCCTTGATGAAGTGGCTCCGCGAGTTCTACCTCTTGGCCCTAAGTTTTCAGTAGTCATGTTAGAATTAATAAACTGGACGCACACGTTCAGTTTGAAGGCCTCTATACTCTAACCGAAGGATTAATACCCTCATCAACTGAAGCGGTTGAAAGACTAAAGTCAACTCTGGTCGATTGTTATTATAGTCACAACAGTCATGGTTTGATCTTACCACCCTTAACTGTCTTCCAACCTAATCCTAAGCCAAGGAACACTACTCAGCGAGGAAGGTGTTGGCTTGGCATGCGTACCACGTGTCCTCAAATACTCTAAAGCAATCCGTAGCCGGTGGTAAGATCTTTACATAGACACAACTTCAAAGGCCATCTGAAATAGACTGAGTGTATGCGACTGAGTTCAAGCAGTTGTCCCTTGGTCTCTATGGTCGCAGAACACCAAAACACACTCCATTTCAGGTATTTGAAGAAGAAACAAACTTCTACGGTGTCAGCAGCCAAGATGGAATAACCGCCGGTACACTTCTATAAGGACGCAAGAATTTCTTGAGCATCACCAGTCAGCATTTGCATATTTGACTTAAATAACTCTGGGTAGATATAATAATTAATTTTGACCTTATTTACGCTTATTTTTACTGACCATCGGAGAATATATTGCGAATAATTCTATTGCCTTACCTAAAATATTGGGGTTATATAAACATATATATTAACTCAGTTAGGACGAAATTTGGATTTTCAATGCTAACGTTAAGTCAGTTCTTTTATATAGGCCAGAAGCGCATCCATTGCGCGTCACGAAAAGCATTTCCAGCAGGACACCGCAAATTTTTATCAACAGCTACCTTCTCTGACGCCATATTGAGGATCAAATTTCGAGAAAGAATTGACAACAACAAGAAACTATTTGTGAACAAACCAACGAACCAAGGACATGTTGCTTAACAAATACTCGGAATTAAATGGAGATGGATTGGCCATACGCTGAGGAGACCGTCGAATAACGTCACGCACCAGGTCATCGCTAGAGTGGAACCCGAATGGGAAACGGCGAGTTGGGTGACATGGAAAAGATCATGGGAGGAGGAGACAAGGGATTATGGGCAATTGTAGAGCCAGCTGAATAGAACTGCAGAGGACAGAATAAAGTGGAAACGTGGTGTTGAAGCCCAATGTTCCGCTCGTTAGCCAAGAAAGCAATGATAATAATAATAAAATGTAACTAAGTTGGTATTAAAACTGAATGATGGGCTGCAGAAAACGAGACTCTTAGTAAAGGAATATTTACTTGGAATTTAGTATCTCTATATAGCGAAATTATGTGCACGTTATCATCAAAGCACCCTTTGTACAGATCTCCCATGTTGTAATACTTCTCGCCTTCATTTCGTGTTTCTTTGTGTTCCTTTCATGTCTCCCATGTATCTCGGCAATACCGTATGATTTCCTTTCCCTGACACCGAATCAATCTCCCTCTTACTTGATTTTTTTATACCTTTTCTTTATATACTACTGATAAATCTTATCAGTCACACACGCAACAGTGTAGTCATAAAAGACGTTCCTTTTTCTTCCGTACCATAATCGATTGTGATAATTGCGAAGTTGTGATTTTTTCTTCTTACTATTCTCCCCCACCCCCCATTATCCTCAGCCTCCTGTATCAACGAGCACTGCAGTACCAAGTGATTCCTGCCTATTGGAGAATGTGCAGAAGCCTAGTGTTACACTGGAACGATTTGAATTAAATTCAGGTATGCTTGGAGAAATGAATGAAACTCAGATTATACCTCAAGGTGAAGAAAGGTTAGTCCATGTATTCACTCACTTATATACTGCTTATCTTTCTTTTAACTGATACAAGGCATATTCCTGTAGATGTGTATACCAGTGGATATGCCCCGTCCTTCTTTTAACGGCCGTGAAACATGACATCTGAAAAGAAAAGAGGAATTCGTGAACACGGTTAGCTGTGTTTGACAATAGGTGTCTGCTTTCTATCTCTCGTGTTAGAGAGATTGTATAATATCCCTAATAAATTAAGGTTAAGCAGAAAGTGTTAGGTAAGGAGAGAAAACTGATCGATGAGATTGTGTGAAGCTGTACCTAGTGAGATGGTTAGAACACATTTTACTCATGACAAGCCAGCTCCTTTCTCATGGAACAATGTAGCCGACGTCGGATTAGAACATGAGTTGACTTCAGTTTCAAAACCATCGGAAAACGCGGGAGTATTGAACAGCTGTTTTGTCCTAGCTTTGGACTCTTCAGAAGGACGTACCTACTATGGTAGGAACCTAGGACCTTCAGGTTACAAGGCAGGTTCGTAGACCATTCAACCACTATAACCCTGTCCAATGGCTCATGAACTCCGAAGTTTGCCAGTTCGCGATAAATATAATAAACCTGTGAAGAGTCCCGAACTAGGACGAAACAGCTGTTTTCCAATGGTTATCTAACTGATTTGAACTGGTGACCAAAGCAAATTGTATATGTGTCATAATAATACTGAAGAAAAATTACTCTTAGGAAAAACTTTGGATTGAATTATGGCTACTGAACTACATATTAGGTGATAATTCCACATATCCTCTTGACTTTTATTGATAGTGGTGCATTTAATAGCAGCGATTCTTGAATCCAACTTTCCTGATATCCATAGATAGAGTAGAATCTGAAATATCAAAGGAGATCATGTATGTTTCACGTACGCACGCATGCAGCCATACACACGCGCATCTTATTTCTGAACTTGAAAATAACCACTAACCTACTCCTTGTATATCAATCACACTTCTAGTAATTCTGAACGGTGATTATTCTATTCATCAATTTCTTAGGAATTACAACGCTTCTGTGTCAGTTCATTTCAAGTAGTGGAAAAGATTTCACAGTCTAGACGAATATGCTTTTGATGTGTGATTGTATCCTTTAAACTGTACAGTTTAATCTTGAAGATTCTCATTGTCCGTCCTTCTAGACACGATAATCTGCTGTGCTTACTCACTTCTTTATTGCTTAACTCTTTATCTTTGCTTTTTTTGTGGAACAGACAGCCCAGCGGTTGATAATACTAATAACAACGTCGTTGAGCAACAGCCAAGTGAACTGCAACAAGCGTTTCCACACTTTCATTTGAGTCCATTACCTCCTAATGATGAAGTTACACGGAATAGAAGAAGAGTGAGACGAAAATTCCCACGAGGATTGATCATTGATGAGGCTACGACTTTATCGTCAGCAGAAATGAAATACAATATGGAACATGGTGAAGAAACAATGCGATCACGTGATGAGTTACTGGCTGAACCTAGTCGACGCTGTCAATTCAAGTATCTTGTATCACGTGATGTTAATCTTCTGTTTTCAATGCCTGGTCGTCTGGAAATTATGCAAAGTTCAGAACTTGCAGCAGTAGGTTTATCGATAATTTAAAAAAGAATATTTTTCCAGCTAACAATATCTAATGATTATTACAAACTGATTATTAAAATAAGATGTTATGTGAACAATAAGCGAATTTCATCTCTGACCGTGGATTGATATCAGTTGGAGAACTATTGAAAAGAAGGAGGTATACTGGATAGCTGTTTCGTCTTAGTTTGAGACTCATCGGTGGTACTCACTCACTGGGCACCTAGGAGCTTCCGATTACAAGGTGAGCGTGCAGACCATTCAGTCACTAGGAACCGATTCAATAACCAATTCGTGATTTTTTTGGTGTTTTTCCTCACTCCCGAACTGGTCCTAGCGGATGAATGTTCTACGAGGTTACCTTGTAACCTGAAGGTCCTGGGTTCACACTGTGGTGCATGATGCATACTTCCGATGATACCAATCTAATACGAAACACCTATTCATATACTCCATCATGGATAAGATTTTATTCTGATAAATCACACATTGTTGTACAGTAATATTAAATAAGAACTAACTGCGGATCCTGAACTCAATCATAGGACAAAGCTGTCCATTGAAGAAATTATTTTAGGGATTCAGTTATGCCTCACATCTACTATCTTTAAATTCCAAGGCAAAATCTATAGACAAACAGAAGGCGTATCATTGGGATCATGAATATCCACTATCGTAGCAGACATATTTATGGACAGCTGGGAAAATATTGCTCTAAGTAAATTTAGTCCTACTTTAAAGATATAGTGGAGATATGTGGATGACACATTCACAGTATTAAAAACAAAACATATCTCTAGCTTCTTGACACATATTAACTCACTAGTAGAGGGAATAAAAGGAGAATTAACTATGTTAGATTGTAAAATAAAACGAATAGAAGAAGGTAAACTACACACTAGTGTTTATAGAAAACCAACGCATTCTAATAGATATTTAGATTTTAATTCGTCTCATCCGTTAACTGTTAAGGTAAGCTTAGTTAACACATTCTGTACTTACTTTACTTTACTTCGGCTATCTCCTACGGGAGGATGAGCCGGCTTCATGAACATCTCGAATCATCGCTGCCCAGGCGCGGCGATCTGATGCAAGGTTTTGCGACAGGGTAAGAGAGTTCATGAAGTTTCATGGGAATTTGGTACGAGTGATGTCCCCAGAATCGCTCGGCCTTTTGTTTGAGAGTGCAGCTCTAGCCTTTACACAACCAAGTGTGACCTACAAGGCAGTAGGAGTGGAGTAGGAAGTCCACTATCCATTGGCAGCCGGTGACCGGAGTTCGGTTCATACGCCTTTTTGAATGGGGTCAGACATCCAGGACATCCAGCAAGCCCTTTGTCCATACGTCTGCCGGTGAGCTCCAGTAGGCTTCATACGCCAGTCGTTGGAGGTTTGGAATCAGGGTTTAGCCATCTCCCTTAGACTGTTATCCAATGGACAGTCAACCCGGTGAAGAGCGCCGGGCATCCGCTTTCGCCCTCTCACTTTGGTGAAGAACACCTCCGCCACGTGAAGGCAGTGAGTAGGACTTCCTCAGGAGAGGCTATGTAAGACGCCCGGTCATATGGGAGCATTTCAAGAGGTGTGCAGAGGGGTCGCCAACCCGCAGCTCAAGGCACCCACCCCCCACCATCCTGAGGCTTTGATAAAATTCAGTAAAGAAACTGAAGCCATTACTATGATGTACGGAGGTAATCAGAATTTCGGAACATAAGAATTTAGCCAAGATAAGAATGTTTGACCCCAAGAAGATAAGTAATTTAGAAAAAAGCTCAGCAATTGCACTGCATGCATTAACACAGCCACACAATAGGGTGGGATAGGGTTAAGATTCTAAGAAGTAATCTAGGTAGGTGGAGAGAGAGGTTGATTACGGAATCCTTATTCATCGAGTCTACACCCAACACATGCAACAGCAATGACTCAATGCAAATACCAGAAATATGGAAGATATTATTACCGCCGATCAAATCAGAAGAGAATAATAAATAATCTTAATATTCTATTTCAATTCAAGCACATCACAATATTTTAAGAAGTAACTTATTATGACTATAAAAGCACTCGTCTTACTTCCCATCTGATTGTAATTGATCAATAACACTCATAATATTATTTCTGAATGCACATTACTGTATATTAGTTTTTATCAAATATCTAATCAATTCAACACATGTATATAAATGAAGGGAACACGTTGTGTGAGTAACTTGATATGATTATGAGCAATAGTTTGTGCTCGAAACGTCATCAGTTAGTATTACTGTGTAACACTGTGTGATTTATCAAAATAAAATCTCATCCATAATGGAGTTATACTCCACCACAGTGCCCAAGTTTTATGCTTACACCTATTCAAATATTCCCCAAATGATATCAGTCCGAGGTCATACTTGTAACAAATCAAATCCCTACAACCTGACTCTTGAAAATAAACAAATTGTAGAATTGCAGAAATTACGCGGAGGTCGTTTTTCCTCCTATTGAGATTGTGTAACCAATGGAAACACAAACATCTCTGAATATGAGAGAGAGGATTGGATTTTATGGATTGTCTTACAGTCTATGTGTTTATTCTATTCTATCATCAATGTTTTACTGCAAGAATTTGATTCTACCCTCTATCTTGTTGTAGTCATCTACTTTACTACTTTCAAGCATGCGCATTCATCAGAAATTAGTCAATGATTCTTGTCAGGTGAGGGCTTAAACTAAATCCCTACAGATGTCAGATTGTTAATTTTTTCCTGTATTTTTAGATACAAACATAATTTACATGAACTAGTTGATTCGTATGATCTTAGCATCATGAAAGAGACACTTGAGTTGAAACTAAGTTGAATTTTAAATACCTTAGATTATATCCTTCCTCCAGTCTTTCCTGGTCTTTCCAAATCCTCTTCACTTCTAGAGAGATATTCCATCTTAGCTTGTGCAATAAAAAAGGTAAGAAAGCCTGGTATCACTGCCTCTCTTCTTATACAGTTTGTCAATTCTTGTATCCTACGTATTCTTCTTCATTGCATCTCAAGACACTATCCAGTGTGACAAATCAGTCATTAGCTTAATTGTCAACCGTCTAATAGTTACAGGCCACCTTGCTCCCTGAGGTCCCCTTCATAAGTTATTTACAAAATAAGATCAAGTGGTAGGAAAAGGATTGTTCCGTTCTAGACGCTTGTGTGTGTGTGTGTGAGGCGGTGGTGTAGGCAACTAGTCGGCTCATTACTGGACTCTGTATGCAGAAAGCCTTTAATTCACTTCATCATTCTACAAAGATCTTAAACTCCTTACTGTTTGCTTCTCTACTTGTATTCCTTGTAAGTTATTCGCTATTATCACCTTTACATGCCTCTTTTGTACACGATGATAGTCAATTTTATTGTGTTCTCGACTTTTTAACGTCGCTCAAGGAATTTTGCATGCGATTCGACCCTATCAAATGTAAGGTGGTGCTACATGACTGGACTGCACCGACTCCTGGCTTAAAGGTAAGGAGTGGACTGGCAGAGGATAACTGCACTGCATTTGTTTTGAGAGTTTCATCAGTCCTTCTGAACTGATTGCTGACGAAATCTCAGCACGGATATTAAAGGCTCGTGTGGTAGTTGTCAGCTTAAATCATCTCTAGCGTAGACATGATATCCGAATGTCCACTTGTACACTGAGCAACAGTTCACTGCTGCTTCCTGCCTTAAATTTGTGAGGTTTGCTCATTGAAAATGCACCGAGCAGGTCACAATAGGAGTCTTAGTATGTTATCCAGAAAGAGCGAAATTCTTCTGCCGATCCCCTCCAACGGCAGCTTATTGCTATGTGGTTTATTCGAGTCCATCATTGATTTGGCGATGAAGGTTGCCAAGTCAACAAATGTCCTTTTTGTTCTTGAAGTTACTGCTGAGCAGAAATAGATGATTATATGAACAGAACTATTGAAGACTTTCATCTCTATCGGTTTGTTTGCGGGGAACTCTGTAGGTGACATCAACATACTTTGTAGAGTGATACAACTTCCCCACTTCAGCATTGAAGTCGCCTGCTAAGATGAGTGTATCTCAGCCTTTTGATTTTCTCAGTAAACTAGACAGTTTTTGATGGGGTGCATCCTTTTTATCTTCCAAACCTCAGTCGTTTGGTGTGTAAGCAGAGATTATGAAAAGACATAGATGGGCGACACAATTCTTCCTTCTTCTAAAGGATCCATTAAGACAGATAGCACACGTGCAACGATCAACTGGAATCTAGCCAAGTAGAGATTTTTCTACCCTATTAAGCAATGATATCTCCACACCCGTAAATCCTCACGAACTAGACGAAGAGTCTCTTGACACCTGTGGGGTGATATTTGCAGATTCACCCTGTTGGTCAGGTGGGATTAAGTGAATAAGCACATTTGAGTTTTGCGTGGCTGTCTTTGAAACATCCATGGCCTGAGATTTCAGAGTTCTGTCTTGTGATGACTGTTGTCCTATCTGGCAAAGGATCCTAACGTTAACTGCTCCAGTATGAAGTTGGCAGTCCGGCTTTAACAGACTGTCGGTAGTACTTTTCCGGTTCTCTTCGCCACTATCGGTGACAAACTGTAAAGAAGATGAAGGACCTGCGTGTAGAATAGTATTCAGAAAAGGAGGAGACAGCAGGATGTTGTAAATGACGCAGACAAAGGTGAATGAGGATCAGAAGAGCTTCGTGTACTTTTGGAAGTTTTCAGGCGGTTGTTACTTCCCAGCCACCTACACCTTAGAACAAGCAATAAAGGTAGATCTCGTCAGCTGAATACTCTACATACACGGATATATATATATATACTTTTGAAATTACATTGGGAGATATAAGACTGATAAGTAAACAAACTACATTGAATTAGTCATGCAGAAAGACAGGTGCGAATGTTTTTCCAGGTCATGTTCAAATAAAGATAAGGGGAGAGAGAGTATGAGAGATCAAAATTAAGATAAATTGCATTACGCTTCAATTACATCACTTAGATAAACAATTAGTCATTAGAGAATATAACAAGAATTGCAAACAGAGTAATATCAATAGTAATAGTTATAATAACAACAATAATAATAGTGTTGAAGTGAGTTAAGATAATGCTACTGATAAAGGATAGTTTTAAATGAATCAATAATAATAATAATAATAAGAGGTAGAATAATAAGTAAAACGTATTACCATGGTAGATTCAGAGTCACGACCATCTCCTTTTGTACACAGAGACCTGGTTTATAGACTCGAATTGCACAAGCCTCTGCAATTGCAAGCATCTTCTTGTTTCTTTGTCTGCTGACAATAGTGAATGACTTGACAGCGTCGATATCATGTCCGTAGTCCACAAGATGTTTTGTTATTGAGGATTTTGGCACTTTGCACTCAGCTATTTTCAACCATTTTGGCAAATGCTCCATCATGCGAGTAGACAATCGCCTTTCTGTACGACCTATGTATTTGCTTCCACAAACACACTCAAATTGATAAACGCAGTTTGAAGTGTCGAGGATTGGCGACTGGTCTTTCCCAGATTGTTGAGGCACTCGCTTAGTGGTGTTAAGGATAAGAAGTTTTGCAGCATAATAAGTTCTCTTGATAGCTTTATCGAGTCTTCGTTTGACTACTTCCTGTACATCATCTCCTTTGAATGGCAAACTGATATAGACAGATTTCTTCGGAACCTTAGAACTTGATGCGAGTCCATGATATCGTTGACAGTCAGCATGAGCCACGTGAGAAGGTGTAGGCTGCCTGGTGGTTGATGGTCCTCGAGATGGTAAGAACAAATGGTGGTTGGAGACAGTTGGTAATACCTGGCTCCAAATCGTTCTCACTGGCGCAGATTTATTCATTCTTTTTGATCTCAAGTATCCATATCAAAGTTTTTTTATTTATGACATAACTTCCATACTGCAATCAATGTTTCTGTAGATGTTCCATTGTCAATCTATTATTGTTATTGTCATCATTACTAGTAATAATACTCATACTATTATTATTATTATTATTACTCTTTTAGCTTTGGCGTCGACATCTTCATTATTGTGAACAGGCAGTGAAAGCAGGTCGTTTCCACGAAGAAGATATGACGAGTAATAATAATATTGATGATTTGTTCCAGTTGAATCAGCCCGCCAGGTCATCTAGGCGGATGGCTAGTATTGCAGAAGAAAATGAATCATCAGTTGAAATTCGACGAATACCTAGAGATACTTCATCGATACACCGAGGCGAGTCACTACTCAGTGGTGGTGCCAGTAATACTTTAATTGATGTGACAAGTAATCAGGTGAGTTGATTGAAAATCGATTTTTTATACCCACGTTATTGATTGATTTGATAATGTAACAACATCTGAAATGGTTTTTTAATGGTTTAATGGGTGGGGGGTTGTTATTGACATTGTATGGTGGGTGATGGTGGAATATAAAACATCTGGCTGGTGATGGGCGTCCGAATTACTTACTACTCCGCCGTCTTACCCCCCCCCACTTAAGTTACGTGACACACGCGCTGACCCAATGTATCTCATCATAGTCACCAGAGGTTAATTTCCAGCGGTCATGTGAATATATATATGATATGGTTTATTTTCATTGTTTTGCATTCCAAGGGGAACATAGGACTCCAGACTTGAAGCCTTGAAATTTTAATAGCCATGTTGGTGTTTTCATGAGGGAGGGGGCTCGGGGTTGCTAGCTTCATGCTGTCACTATCCTCCCTCTTTCCAAGACCCACTCTACTGTTTAGTAAACTAGGCGAGATTTAGGAGTGTGTGTGGGAATCGAACCCAAGATCATGTGCATAGCTAGCTAGTGAGCATTCTACCACTAAAGCGCCGACGCACAGATGATAAGTTACCGTCTGTTTGTCATCCCACTAGAAGATGCACTGTCCAGTTTTGTATCCCCCTGTCAATCCTACTCACCTACTGAAGAAAGAGGAGAGGAGCTGGTTGTTATTTGATGGTAAGGCATCTATCTATCTATCTGCAATAGTCTTGACTAGCAGACTGGTTCTTCATGCATTAATCGGACGACTGCAGATATACACCATAGCATAGCATACACATGATTGGCAGCAGGAAAGAAATTGTGGTGAAGCAGAGTTTTCTATCTTTTGACATTTCTCAGCAAAGACGGTTGAAGATTTCTTTTGGTTTTACTAGTATTTTTTCCCCATTTCTGTCAGAGATTTGTATATATTGACGTGTATATTTACTGTTATATCGCATAACTGTTGCAAGCAGAGTATATGTGTAGAGAGACTGCCTCTTCCTCTTTACCATAATTTTACTGTTTTGCAGTATTGAAATAGGCTGTAGTCTTGAGTAAGTAGAGGAATTTAGTAGATAATGTAGTCAATATCTATCTATCGATCTATTTATCAAAAACCAGGTGGCTAGAATATACCCAGTCTATTTTAAGCTTCCGTCTTCCTTCTCAATCAGCGATACCTGACAGATGACTAGGGTAGAAGAAGGCTGAAAGACGACTAATCCATAGTATGACACATTGAATTCATAAAACTCCTTGACTGTTGGCTAGAGATCCACGACGAAGTCGAAGTTTTCAGGTGTTGGATTGTAGGAATTTGATCGAATTTAAGGTAGATATCGTCGTCGTCGTCATTAACTGACACTAGTTAAAGAAGCACCAAAAACAACCCACTTCTTTCTTCTTCCTTGTTTGAGGCTCTTCAGTTTCATTACTTATTCTTATCTAGACACCTGATCTTTTCTGAAGTAAAGCAAATTTTCTAGACAACTGTGATTCGTTGGTTGACAGGTATTCAGCGAGTTCTTTTTGTTCTCCCAAGTGGAACATAAGGCCTCACGCTTTGAGCTTTAAAGTTCCAGTATTAGTGGTGTTATTCTTTTTTACGGGATGGGGTTGCTAGCCTCACGCCCAACTTTCCCTCCTTACAGGGCATACTACTGGCTAAACGTGGTTTAGGAGAGCGTCGGTGACTCAGGATCGAATCACGGACCACTTGTGGCGTGTTTGCCAAGCAAGCATTGTACCACCGAAGGACCGATGCACTAGATGCCAAACCAGAGATGTAATTCCATTTCTGTATCAACTTATTTTAGATAATTCAATGATTACAGGTTTCATCATGAGTTGATATCAGTTAGAGAACCATTGGAAAGCCTGGAAGTACTGGACATCTGTTTTATTCTGGCCTGAGAGTCTTTGACGGGACGCACCCACTGGCGTTCGAACCCAGGAGCTAACCTTTACAAGGCGTGCTTCTAGACCATTCAGCCACTGGGACCCGATCCAGTGGCCTTTGAATTCAAACTTCTGCCAATTCGCGATATGTATAGTGCAACCTCCAGTCAATGACATTGGCGACTAACTGTTCTGTTACCAGACTTGGTGAACCCTACTGGTTACGACTTCTCGCTAAAACTCCAGGTAACTTCCTGCACAGAGCTCACCTTATAACCGGAAGGTCCTAAGTTCGAACCCTGGCGGTGGGGAAATACCTCTGAAGAGTTCAAGCCTAGGACAAAACAGCTGTCCAGTACTCCAAGTTGATTTTCCAGTGGTTCTCTAATTGATATCGAGTCGTGATCAAACCTATAAGCAATCAAATTCCTACCAACCAATACTTGATAAATCATTTATTATACCATAAAATTTTCTCTTCTTATATCTCTAATTCTCATGGTCGGAATTTTGTTTTCTTGCACAATATTATTTTTATTTATTTTAGCCAACTAGTGTTCGTGAGTCATTAGTAGACGCAAATGATCCTGCACAAAGTACCGCTGCTGTTGCAGCTGATGTGATGGTGGGGCTACTGATCAAGTGACAACGCGGACTCATCCAAAACTACACATAAATGCTATTTCACAGTCGACTCCACAACAGATGATGGTCAATTCATTATCACATCATTTTGAATCGACAACAATGCTGGGTCCTGTGCTGGAGGAACGTGAAGAGCAAATACAAATGAATGAAAATGGTTAGTGTTTTTTAAAAGCGGAGATGGATGTAGCCTCTTTTACTGAAATTTCTGTGTTATTGTTTAAGTGTACTTATCCTGATCTGTGATTTATTGCGTAACTGATTAGGGAAACACAGTGGGAGTTGTGCACACACGCACGCACGCACACACGAAAACGTAGATGAAACATCAGTCAGTAATTAAGATGAAACCGGAATGAGATCACTCATGCACACCATCAGGTTATGAGGCACACATATTGCATTGAAAAGGACTACTAGCGAGTTGTTTCAGGCTAAAGTGGATGCGTCGGTGGCACAGTGGTAGAATGCTCGACAACCAGCCTCATGTGGTTCGGGGTTCGATCACCGGCCGATGCACCCCTTTACCTCGCTAAGCCAGTAGTAGGGCCAGCAAAGAGGGGGGAGGTTGGACATGAGGCTGGCAACCCCACCCCGTGAAAACAGAGACCACTGCCACCGAAACTTCAAGCCTCCAGTGGGAACGTAAAGGAATATAAAAAAGGTGAATGCAGTGTCATTGGAATTCAGCATCACTATGACTGAAAGTTTAGTGGTTAAACCGAAGAACGACATCTTCAAGATGAAAGTGCGTTCTAAATTTGTGTATTTAACTGTATAATACTTATAACTATTTATTAAATAACTTAAAAACAAGAAGCACTGAGTCAGCTGTTTCGTATAAGTTTGACTAGTGAGAGAGGGGAATAGGGGAAACAGTCTTATTAGTTTATTGAACACTAAGAAGACGATGTTGCACAACGTTTAGTGGGAAGCTAATTAAGAAAGCGCCCATCTAGTTCATCTAGTGGTCATCTGATATGAATGTATGATTAAAACAATGAGAAATGCAAAAGAAGAGCTTAAGCATTTTCATGGATGGTGGTAATTCCGGTAGCTCTGTGATTTAAACTGGCCACCGTTAGACTGAGGGAAATTACGATCATAGTGTAACGACAGAAGACAACGGCCAGGCAACAGATCGTTTATTGAGAAAATCAACAGATATTTATAGATTTTCATGTACATTATATTTACTATTATTATTAGCAGAGAAACAGCGTCTTCTGATTGGGCGTTTCTCACTGGAATTTTTATTCTGCCATCTCTTTGTGGCCGTTTCTTTGAAGGTCATACCATAGATCTGCTAATCGTATCCGCCCACCCAAAGTCTGCTGTTATTGGTTGTTGCGTTAGTCTTTGTTCTTGTTTTTTTCTCATGACCAAGATTTGGGACGCAAACATTGACGTAAATTTGCTGCCTACCGATTTGGCTAGCAGACAGCTCTCACCACAATAGTGTAAGTTGTCTACACTATGCTGAAGATATGAGGGCAAAGTACTGCTGACGAATGAGGAAAGGTGGTAGGAGGAGTAAAGTACTTCCCCTTCGGACGAACAGTAATCCATCTGTACTGTCTCTCCACTTTAGGGGGTTGGAGGTTTGGAGAACATAAACTAAACAAACTGTACGTCATGGCTTACCTTGTGAAATTTCATGACCGATGGTAAGATATTCATGCTAATATAACTCCAAAACCAACCTCAAGCAGTTTTCTTCACGGTTGTGCGTTTATCCAACGCTAATGCACCTTTTGTTTTACTTATTTCTGTCAGTTCACAGACAGGATGTGCATTGGTACATACCATTGCCAATATTTCTCTCTTACTGCTTCTGTGGTCCTGAAACATAAATGAAATAATCTATACTCATCAGAGTAAATCGATTGAACAAAGTTATCCAGTTTATTATGCAAGACTTAAGCTGAGTTTAATCAGTGTTGCAGGTACTGATTGCTGAGCAAAACACCAGCAAGGACATAACCACTGGATAGGTGTGGCATCTTGCTAACTGAAACATTCCAATAAATAATACTAAATTACAGCTTAAAGTAGTACTGTGTGACTTCAAGAGGACAAGCAGAAGACGTAGGTGATGAGGATAACCAACCAACACCAATCACCATCAATGGGAGAAATTTGGAAAAGGTCACTTCCTTCACTTATCTAGGAAGCATTGTCACAACAACAACAGGCGGAAGGGATGAAGGTGTCAAATCCAGAATTGGGAAGGCAAGATACACCTGCATCACTCTTAAATCACTTCTCCTGCAATCTCCTGCACTCAACGACAGCATGGAGAACAAGATTCGGATTTTCAACACCAATGTCAAATCAGTCAGTCAGTTCTTCAATATGTGTGTCAGAAACTTGGCCAGCGTGTCACGAGAAGCATTTCCAACAGGCTACTTCAGACTTTTATCAACAACTGCCTTCGCTGGCTCCCTGTCGAAGTTCGAGTGGCCAGAAAGAATTAGCGACAGGAAACTGCGGAAACAAAACAACGTTATTATTATTATTTCCTTTAGTTCCTAGAGGAACATAGGGCTTCAGCCATGCGTCTCCATTGCGTTCGGTTCCCTGCTAGGGTTTTCACCTGGCTCCAAGTCTGCCCATACGCTTTCAATTCTTCTTCACATGATCTCCTCCAGGTCACCCTTGCACTGACGACCAACTCGCCGCTCCCCTTTCGGGTTCCACTCGAGCAATGGCCTGTCTAGTGATGTCACTTGATGGTTTCCTCAGAGTATGACCAGCCAATCCATCTCCATTTTTTCCTGCCTATTTGTTTCACAATCGGTTCCTGGTTGGTTCGCTCCCAGATATCTCTGTTGCTGATCCTTTCCGGCCATCTGATCTTGAGTATTGAGCGAAGACATCTGTTAATGAAGGTCTGTAGCTTGTTTGAGGTGCTCTTTGTGACACGCCAAGTCTCTGATCCATCCGTATAGTAGTACTGACTTCACACTGGAGTTGAAAATCCGAGAAATTATTGCTCAACAAATATGTCGGAGAAATTAGAAATGGATTGGGCACACTCTGAGGAGACCGTCGGGTGATATCCTGCACCAGGCCATCGGTCGAGTGGAAGCCAAATGGGAAACGGCTAGTTAGTTGGGTGTTGGTCTTAGGATGACAAGGAGTAGGTCGTGTGGCGAGAAGGCGATGAAAGACTGCGGGCAGTCTCAGGGCCAGCTAGAGAGGACAGCAGACAATACGACAAGGTGAGGACTTGCTGTTAAAGCCCTACATATATATTCAAGGTGGAACCCAAGGGAACAATAATAATATTAGTAGTAGTAGTGTCGTGTGTATGTAACAGTTGAATTTCGACCAGCACTTATCAGTGAATCAACAGCCAAATTTCTTACCATCCGTCGACCATTCCACACATACATAAAACAGAATATCTGTAATCGCTTTTCTCAACCTATTTTGTTTTACTTTTCCTTTAAGTTTTATTCTTGGGTGTTGTGAATCATGGTGATGATGATGATGAATATGTTTGTAAATATTTTCAGAATTCATCCCTCCTGTGCCTGAGTCAACTGAATTCCCACAGGAACCAGAAATCCCTGCTCCTGCTCCTGCTCCTCCGCCTCCTCCCCCTGCTCTCTCTTCACCTCCGAAAGCGAGGGAACATGCTTTTGATAAAAAATCACGGATATGGGAGTAAGTCACTTCGCCTTATGCTTGTTAGTTTTTTGTTTAAATTTCAAATATGACCCAATTGTGGTGCTGTAGACTATAATCGATTTTACACTCCAAGCTCTTTTGATGTTGTTTGATGGTGGAGGTTCCATCGCTATACCTGATGAAATCTTTAACACTGGCCTCATCTTGAGTGACTGATTCCTGTTTTATAATTTCAAAGACGCATATTTCATTTGTTATAATGGATTATTAGTGGGACAAAATTTGCAGTATAAAATGATATTATTCTATTTCACAGGTTTTCATCAACTGCAGACCACCTGAAATTACGATGATCATATAGATGATAATAACATACTTTAATGTTTAATTGGTAGTAGAGAAGAAATACCATAAAACTGACGCATCCAAAATGAAAGCATTACAATTTTTAGTTTAAGTTTTCATCATCAATTTATACGCTTTCAAAGTAGAAAAGAGGGGAGAGGGGTAAGACAGAAAAAATTAATTAACAAAACAGTGTTAGGTTGTAGGTTCACATAGCAACTCAAAAAACAAAAACGGTTACAGTTTATAAGATTGAGATTTGTTCAGTGAGTTGAGATCACTCAATTAGATGACTAATTCATGTAATCAGATTCAAAATTCAGTTACTAAGGGAGTGAGAGGTTAATCACACTCTCTTTCTGTATGTATAAGTCTGGTTTAAATTGTTTGATTGCACTAGCTTCTGCAAAGCGTAGTAAATTTGCTATTTTTTGTCTACTTAATATTTTGAAGGATTTAGAAATCTCTACGAGATGTCCTGTATCAACAGTTTGTCTGGTAATTGCAATCTGAGAATATTTGCTTCCTTTCAGGCACAGGTTTCTTGGAATATGTTCAGAAAACGGGATAGAAGCCTTTCTTTCCGTCCTTCTAATGTACTTGCTCGTACTTGATTTGATTTTGATTTACAGCTTGATTCCACACCGTATTTTCAGTACAAGTGTGGAATTTTCAGCATGGATATCGGTAGCCCAAATTTTGCAGGCCGACCATAGATATCGGGTGTGCGCCGGCAGGGGATCGAACCCCGGACCATGTGCCTGGTCGGCGAGAGTCCTAACCACTGTGCCACCGACGTACTTGCACGTTAATTCATAAACGCAGTTGGAGGTGATATCAGAAGAGTATTTATCCAGTTTTGAATGGCTTACAGAAGGAGTGGCTCTGCATAATGTTATTAGTTTAGCTACCGGGAAGTTTTTTTTTATTGCACATTGCAGTCTTTTGTGACACTGCATCTCCTTTGAATGGGAGACAAATAAACACCTTCTTCTTTTCTAATAACATCATTGTGTGTCCTCATCCAAGTAGAGCGGGCTGAGGAAACAGGCAGCTATGGTAGAAAGTTGTTGGCGTCAACAAGAAGCATTCGAAAGCAGTGGGTTTAAGTCCCAGCATCGGTGCACTGATCCTATTATATTTCAGTCTTTGTGCTATTGCTCAATCAGATTACCTGTTCATAATACTTTTCTATACTTTACTTAATTTGTTCTTCCTTTGCAAATATTTAGGTATCTTCGAGATCGACTGACATCACCCGATTGTGAATCAGTCAGCATTGAAGAACTTTGTCCACCAGGTGTGAGTAGCAAAAAGGAGGCAGCATTTGTGTTTCTAACATTGTTAGGTAAGTAGTGATTGTGTTGTGTAGCCTTGACCGGCTAGTTATTTCTGTGTAAGTTCGAAATATCGAAAATTTCAAAAGGCGCATGCTTTCTGTCTAACTTTGTCCTCTGAATAACCGGGGGGTGGGGGGAGGGAAGGGTAATTAGATATCACACTGTTACTACCAATACAGAGTGTGCTTACATATTCAACTGGTTCATAAGGTCTTTATTTCTTCATGTGCAGTGATCTATGTGCTCTTTCATACGCTTACCGGTGGATATCTGATGCCCTCATATGGTAGTCAGGTTTGTATATCTCAATGACCGAAGGAAAAATCAATTAGTCGCTTCATGAATCCAAACTTACCAGGGAATTTCTGACATTTCACTTCATACGATAGGCAACATCTGTGTTAAACGGTAAATCTGTGGTTATCCACCGATTCAAGTGGCCTAGATTCGTTAGATAAAGTAGAATTCAGTTGAGACAGAATTTTCGATGATCAGACCAACACATGGAACCAATCAATCAGGTCGGATTGTAGGTTGGATCCCTTTGGGTAAATACATGTTGTCCATTCATCCGGTTGACATCCTGGAGATGCTAAGAATCAAGGGTTGCATCAGAGTGTTAGTGACATGATTGAAAAATAGCGTAGGTGGATCTATTTCTTATCGTTCTCAAGGTTCTTAACATCGTATTGTTGAAGTTTATTTGCATATTCCCTCTGATTTATATTATGTTCAATCAAAATGCTTATTCTGTGTTCAGATGTCAGCTCATGATGAAATCCTCCATCTAATCAAATTAAATCCCGACAAAACCAATACTTGAAAATTAATCTGATGCTCGCTAGCGACTGGCCCTATTCAGGCAGTTAACCTGGGGTTCATGTGGGAAGCCGTGACCAGTAGGGTACAGCAGGTTGAAGATGAGGCAGTAAATCATTGAAGAAGACATTGCGAAATGGTTGCGTTATGTCGTCTACGATTACTGGAGATCAGCATGATTTTAATTTTGGATACTTGTGACCAACAGTCAGATCCAGGATGCTCATTTCGTCCGAAGTATGACTCATCATCCAAATCTGCCTACATCCCCCAGTGAGTGGAGGTGTTCCCACTGAGGCGAGTACATCAAGACGACGTGTCCCAGACAGGAATAAATGCCTACAGTGGATTGAACTACTATTTGCCATCAGACAAAAAAGAAGCTAACGTCTTCGTCTAATTATTCTCTTGCCCACACCCACTAGCCAGTCAGACAGTCAATCAGTGAAACCATTAAGCAGAAATATTCTCTGGAATACATTCATTATCTCAGGAATTATAGTGACAGTTTCGATCACAGTCAATGTTTTTGCTAAGCGATTACTGTACACCCAGATGTTGTACTTACAGACGACTGAATAAAATGGAATTCAATTAAGATTTCCACATGTATTACAACGCGTTTAGTATTCAGTACTACTTTTTGGAGCTTTGGTTCACTGATATTCAGGCGAACAACCATGAATAGTCATGGATTCGGGCAACCGTCACACAATCGATGTGTAGCTCATTCACAGCCACATGAAAATCCAAATGGATTTATGAGTATGGAGAGGAGAAACCAAAGAGACAATTCATCTGAAACTTGTAATGCACTGGCGTAACATAATTTGAACATTTCGGTGATCAGGCATTCACTTATGTGTAGTGTAGTGCAGATCTTCGAAATTAATGTAATGCTGACCAGTGACAGGATGAAGTTTCCTGAAGTTCTATGATGAATCTGTGACCTGTGGCGTTCATCGAATTGATTGTGAGGACATATACTCGCCGATGACATCGACAAGCTCTTCCACCATTTATGATTCATTGGATTCCGTCTCGGTGGCTGGAATGGTCAGCAGGCTGGCATCCTTGATTCAATCTCTGGTGGGATCATGGATGTGTATTTCTGAACATTTCTAACAACTGTGAAGAAGGGGACATCCAGTACTCTGTGATTTTCAATGATCTCCAGCTGATATCAATCCGTGACCAAACTGGAAACAAATGAGATCCCTACAAAGTAACCCTTGAAAATTTATCTGATACTCACTAGTGCCCGACTACAGGACAAAAGTGGAAAGTGGTGACCAGTAGGGTCATTGGCTGATGGTCACGCTACGTATCGCGAACTGACAAAAGTCAGAATTCACGGGTGACTGAATTCCGACATAATTGACTGGATAATCAACAAGCTAGACCTCATGATCGGAAGGTCCCGGCTGTAATCCTTGATGGGATCATGACTGTGCGCTTTAGAGGAGTCCCAAACTGGAGCGAAACAGTTGCCTAGTGCCTAGTATTTTTCAGTGGTTCTTGAATCAGCTGAAGCTAGTTTGTAATAAAACTTAATATGCGTTGTGTACCTCTATTTCTGGTATTAGTATTGAAGGAGCTACTTTATTAGTTAACAGAAAAAATCAATTTAATGGATTCTGTATGCGTAGTCTTAACTTGCATTGGTTGGTTAATAGTAGTTAATCCCACAGATTTCCCAATTTGAGGCCGATTATGATTTTCCACTCTATCAAAACTCGATTTTCACTTCAAATTATCTGTTGCAGACATCCTAATGATTGTGTGTTATTTGAGTACGAAAATAAAACACGTTCAGCGAATAGGCACTTTCTAGCGAGTTCATTTTCCCTAGCTGGGAAATCAAAAACTATATTTAATCAAATCCTTCGAATTCAATACATCTGTAGACCAGATACTGTAGAATCCGAACAAGATCCTTTAGAAGAAATCTTCATCCAAAATGGATACCCACAGCGATACATTGACAAGCATATCAAATCTTACATGAACCTGAAAGAATCAGCCTGTGACATCCTTGAGAAAAGAAATTCAGCATCTTTGAGAAGAACATTCTTCACGACAACACCAAAAGTAGTGTTCTGGGGTCGTCTGTCGGTATGTAAAAGCCTAAAGGACAAGACCTTGGATCCGACCACTTTTATGTGCACATATCATTTCCCCTGTCTCATTCAACACGTAGCCTGTCGAAAAGTGTTCAAGAATACTATGCGGAATGGTTGCAGAAAAGCAGTAATGGCTTGTTATAAGGAGTGTGCGGTAACTGAACACCTTTTCTGCAATCGTCATTCCACCTAAACAAACTTATACTTCAAAGTAATCTATAAAGTGAAGAACAACTTGCTATGGGAGATACGCTATCATCTCTTTTGCATTACTGAAGTCTACACCATTCAGACTTGAGGAAATTGGAGCTATGTATAAAAAGGAGAATTATCAAACCACTTCTATTATCATGGTAACAATTGTGTTGTCTCCTATTAACTTGACTTTTATTTGTTTCTTGTTCTAACTCCTTATAACTCTTGTATTTTCAAGTATTGGTTTTGTAGGGATTTTGTTTGATTGCATGGAGGATTTCATCATGAGCTCACGTCAGTTAGAGAACCACTGGAAAACCTGCAGGGAGTACTGGACAGCAGGTTGAAGATGAGGCAGTAACTCATGAAGAAGAAGAAATTGCGAAATGGTCGCGCTATGTCGTGAATTGGCAGAAGTTAGAATTCATAGACTGGCCATTGGATCGGGTCGCACTGTCTCAATGGTCTACGAGCTAGCTCACTCGCCTTGTAACCAGAAGGTCCTGGGTTGGAACCCAGTCGTGTTGAGTGGGTGCGTACTACTACTGGGGAGTCCCAAACTAGGACGGAGGAAACAGCTGTCTGGCAGTACTCCCAGTGCTGGTTTTCCAGTGGTTCTCTAACTCTTGTACTTCTTTAGAACTCTTACACAGTTTCCCATATTTTCCTTCTTTTCAACAATCTTCATCCTGATTACAAGTGGTTCATTGAATTATTCATCTTCTTATAATGAAACTTATTCAACTCCACTCATGCAATGACTAATAGCAACAACTTTGATTATGACAACTCTTCATTTTTGTTGCTATACTCTTTCATGAAAAATAGTTTGTACAGCGAAAGACAAATTTGCTGAATTTGCTGCAAACAGTCTCTTAGCTGAACCGCATGTTCTGTTTTCATTTATGAATTATTGTTAAGGAATTGTTGAGTATGATTTTGTGCAAGTCACTAATCTCTCCTTATTGTCTCGCCTATTCTTTTATCATTTCAGAACTGGCAAAGAAGCGCCGAATCACTTTTTCACAAAATGTAGCCTTCGGAGAGATTCGCATCAGGTTGACGGGGGGAATAGTCAATTGAAGAAAATTATAAAACGTTCGTTTTCTAATCCTTTTTGAGGTTTATCATGATTATTATTATTATTGTTATTGTTATTATCATTATTTCTATGTGTGTTTCTAAGGGATTCATCCCTTTGATTAAGTTTCTAGAGGAATTTAGAGTATTATATTATTATTGTTATTTTTATTTTTATTACTATTACTATTTTTATTTATTGTTTATCACGTTCTCATCCCTTTTATTGAGTTCGTTTTTAAGAAGAATAAGACTATTAGATTATGTTATGTTGATATGATAATAATAATTACAATATTAATAATGACTATTATTATCATTATTATTATTATTCATCCGGTTTAATATTATTTTTCTATTGTTGCCTTTATACCATATTATTATTATTATTACTATTATTATTATATTTTGTTATGATATTTATACTACTGTCTTAATAAAGCATTCGTAGATTATCTTATTTGAGCGATATTCACTTCAGTTTACAGTATGGAGAGATACTACATGCTAGGGGGGGCTGAAGTAATCGGTTTGATTTATGAAACAGCTGTGGTGGTGGTGTGGCGGGGGGGAAGGACTGTTCAGTATTTGTGATGAAGGTTGATTTGCTCTAAGCTGACTGTATACCATAGCTGGTGGTTTGATGATAGTAAATAACCATGATCGGTGTTCAAAGGGTCAGAACACCACGTGCTTCCACAACTACCTTGTCTTTCCATTGTGGTCTTTGATATACTACTGCATTCGATAAATAGGTGCTTCTTTATTGTTCATAAACTTGTGAACTGACTTGTAATGT